TTTAACCAAAGCCATTAGGAAACAGAATAAATTAAAAGTTCTTCAAGCAGGAAGTGAGAAAATCAAACTATTTTTGTTGATAGTATAATTCCATCTATAAAGATTACAAAGTACCCGAAGCCTTTTAGAACTCAAAAATTCTTCAAAGTAGTAAAACACAAGATCACCATACAAAGATCCATGCCTTTTCTATACACCAATAAGGAGATGTCTGAAAAAAAAAATCAGGAAAGGAGTCCAACCCACTAGTGCAAAAAAAGAAAGATAAATGGAAAGGCCCAACCAAAAGATAAAATCTTTACAATAAAAATTATGATATACAGAAGAAAGAAATTGAAGAACAAAATAGAGGGTGCAAAGATTTTCCATGTCCACAGATTGGGAAAATTCATATTTTTAAATGGCAATATTCGTCCCAAATGAGGTCAATAATCAATGCAATTTTCATGACACTTTTCACAGGTAGAAAAATTCATAAAGGTGTGAAGGGAGAACAAGACCCTGAAGAGCCAAAACAATGCTGACTAAGAGGAGCAATCTTGGAGGCTTCACAATACCTGATTTCAGCATTACAGAGCCATTGTAAAAAAAAAAAAAAAAAAGCAGCCCTTTATTGGCATCAAAGTAGACACAAGACAATGGAACAGAGTAGAGATCTCAGAATACACACAGGACAGCTAAGAGAGTTGACCTACTGACTTCTATCACTTTTTGAAAGGAACAGATAATGTTTAACTGTTTGAACAAACTTACATGACTATATATGCTTAACTGAGTAACCAATTTGAAGATAACAATATGTGATACGACAACCATTCTTAATTTCCTACGACCTTGTCTGAAATTCTGTATTGCCTCTGTTGTTTGGGTGTTGTTTTGTTTATCTCAGTTTGTTTGTTAATGTGTTTTCTCATTCTTTTACCTTTAAAATAAAAAAAGAAATAAACATATGACTCTTTAGGCAGTTGATCTGCAACAAACCTGCCAAAAACATACATGCAAGGAAAAGCAAAAGTTTTTTAATAAATAGTTTTGTGAGAGCTGGATATCCATAGGAAGACAATAAAACTAGACTTCTATCTCTCACCAAAAAGAAAAATCAACTCATAATGAATGAAAGAAGTTAATATAACATCTGAAAGTTTGTAATTACTAAGACACACAATAGAAGAAACTATCATCTAATAATATTTATGGGATAATTTCAATTATTTTACATTTAAATTAGCAAGGTTTATGGGCTACAATGTGGTATTTTTTGAAAAATGTCCTATGTATCACTCAGAAGAATATTCATTCTGTTGTATTTTGTTGGAACAGTATAAAATATCTGTTAGGTGCACTTATTCAAAGTATTTTTACAGCTCTGATATTTCATTCATTATTTTTTTGTCTAGTTGGTTTGTTTATGTGCAGCATTTTGTGACTTTATGAATGACTATTTGTGACATTATGAGTGTGTCAGTGCTTATTTCATCTTATATACACATATTGTTTGTTTTAGGAAGTTGTATGTGGCAGTGTTTGGTGCATATAGGTTTTTAACTGCTATCCCTGTTTCCAGTCCTGTTAAATTTTTTCCTTAACCTGTATATAGTGACGTCCTTTTCCTACTTGAACAGTTCTTTCTCTCTCTCTCTCTCTCTCTCTCTCTCTCTCTCTCTCTCTCTCTCTCTCTGGTACCCATGTCCAAAGACTTCTCAAGGCTGTTTAGGAAACACTTCACAAGGCTGCAGGAAAATCTTATTTCTACACCAAGGACACCAGCCTATAGAAACTAATGTTTTTCAAAAAGGTTTCTAACTTAAAAGAAGAAATGAAACCTGTACGGTATGTTCTGCCCCCAAATGCCTGTGTTATATAAGCTCTGTGATATAAACTTTGAATCACTTTCCTATGGTGCTTTAACAAATATCAGCAACTAGGTACTTAAATAACAAAATTATATTTTGTGACACTATTGGAATATAAGTATTTGAAATCACATTTTCATCAGATTTGTGTCTTGTGACTCGATATAATCTGGCCATGTTTACCCTTTACTTTAAATCAGAAGAAGATCTAGAATATATAATGAACTTAAAAATTAGACCATCTAGGGCTGGGGATTTAGCTCAGCAGCACAGCACCTGCCTGGCAAGCACAAGGTCTTGAGTTTGATTCCCGGTACCGGGAAAAAAAAATTAGACCATTTATAATAAAAGACCCCAGAAAGAAATTGGCAAGTAAAATCAGCAGACGCTTCCCATGGGAAGAAGTACAAATGGTCAACAAATATAAGAACAAACGTTCAACATCTCTGACCATTAAAGAAATGCAAATTAAATCAACACTAAGATTTCATCTTACACCAGAAAGTGTCCATCCTCAAGAAATACAAAACTAACAAATGCTGCCAAGGCTGCAGTGACATGGAGACTTCCTACATTGTTGGGGGCAATGGAAACTAATAAAATCATTATGGAAATAAGTGTGGAGATTCCTCAAAGAAATAAAACTTGAATTTCACAGAGGCCAGCTCTCCCTCTTCTAGGACTCTTTCCCAAAGTTATAAATACATCATACTACAATGACACATGCACACCAATGTTTATAGCAGAATAATTCATAATGGATAAATCCTGGAAGCATCCTGTATACTCATCAAGAGAGGATTGGATGAAGGAAATGTGGTATCAATGCACAAAGCAGTAATACTTGGCTCCAAACAAGGATAAATTTCAGACACTTGTAGAAAAACGTATGCACCTGGAATATATAATATTGAGTGAAATTAACTAGGCACATGTTCCTAGTGCTGTGTGGTATCTCTCACTTGAGTAAGAGAGAGTACAGCACAGAGCATAGGACGGATAGGAGATGATAAGGGAAAGAGCTCCTGGACATGGGAAGGTTCCAAAAGAACACGGGTGAGAGGAGACAGGGAGGAGAGTGGACACAAGCGGAGTGAAGTCATGCCATGTACAGGAATCTTATACCCTACATGAGCATAAGCCTTATGTGTCATAACAGCAAATGGGATTAATAATATAAACGTGAATGAAAATGGGGAAAGACAATTCAGAGAGACAGGAGGGAAGGGGACTGAAAAGAATCAACCTGTGTTATTTATACATATCCAGTCCTCAGGGTACTGCTGCAAATAAAATGATATTACTTCAAATAAAATAATAAATAAGCTGTATTACTGCAAATAAATAACTTGGACAATGAATCATTTCCAACCTGTAGTGGCAGGGGACCCCCTCTACTCTTTCACACCATCATCATGTGGTAATTTTCTCTGCTTATAAAACCCTATTTATGTTGTAATGGGGCCCGTCTTATCCTAACCTTATTGTATCTGTAAAGTCCCTCTATTCAAATAAGGTCATGTAGACAAGTACTATGTTTACCATAACTTTTAAAGAGACACAAGTAAATTTACCACAACAATCTGGCCCCATATTAGAGAAGATTATTTCTTTAGGGTGGGTCATTTTTTTGTAACCATCTCAGACATTTTCTTATTGTGTGTGTGTGTGTGTGTGTGTGTGTGTGTGTGCCATGACTATATCTTGCAGTGCTCAATAAAATATTCATGTAAGCTCTTCATTTTAAAATATTAATTTTATATTGTACCTTAGGTAAAAGATTCAGTATTAGTGTATTACTATGCATTTAATATTAAAATTATTATTGCAATGTCATGCATTCATTTTTATACAAAAGATTTGAGACATATTTTGCACGTATAACACATCTTTATTTGGATTAGGTAATTTTCAAATCCTCAGTTGTGACATGGGATAGTAGTGATCAAACTGGGAAATTTTTTTTCCTTAAAATTTAGTGACTGGGAGTGGTGGTACATGCCTTTAATCCCAGCACTTAGGAGGCTGAGGAAGGAGGATCATTGCAAGTTCAAGACCAACCTGGGCTACAAAGTGTGCTCAAGGCCAGCCTGAACTACATGGTGAGACCCTGTCTCAGAAAGACAAAAGAAATTTAGTCATTTTAGTTTTTAAGGTTTAAGTTTATAGTAATTAAATTTTTGCTTTACCATTCCAATTATTATTGCATACATAATTCAGTGTAGCTCTAATAATAAAATAAAGTCCATGTTTACATTAGAGTTCACAACTTGTGCTGCATATTATTTCAAATTTGACAAATGCAAAATGTTTTCTACTGAACCATTACAAAACCACAAATAATAACATCCCTTCAAACTTCCTGCAACTCTCGTTCTGTAAAGGTCTACATGGGTGATTCTCATACTCAATAATTTTGGTAGTGAAAAATGCAAAATTTCTTTCCAGTTTTGCTGCTTTGCTTCATGGTAAACAAATTCAGATGTTCTCATAAAAGTAAGAATGTAGGAAGCCAGATCATTTCTGTTGCAGAAATATACTATAACAGCGTATTAAGCCATGGAATTAGCATGTTGGAAAGTACTAACCAGTAGGCAGAAGGTCAAAATTTAGACTTCAGAAATGCAGCGTATTACTTTGTTAACTTTGAGTAACTAATTTGGAATTTCAGGATCTAGTATAATTACAGATTCTTTAGGGAATGGGGGAAATATGTAGTTGGGATTTGGGGGTTTTTGCTCAGTTTTTCTGCACACATGACTCAAACAAGAATGGGCAATGTAGGGAGGGTTCTGTGGCTGTACTTACTCCTGGGAGTATGAGGCTGTAACTTCTTAAACTCTGGGGAAAATATTGCCTAAATCTTCATAGCCAAGGCTGAGTCTCTCCAGAGCATTTCAAAAACACCTAACCATGAATCCTCTGGTGCAATTCATGTGCATCACCCTAGAAGTCATCCATGCAAATACCCCATGGGTATAGGCTTGGGACAAAATCTACACAGGATGAGAAGGCTCCTGGGAACTTGGTATGAGTGATTAGAGTGAGAAAATGCTGCCTGGAGGTGCAGAAGCAGGTCTTCACAATTTTCCCACTTGTGTTTTTTCTCACAAACACCAGACCTCTGACACAGAGCTTCAGGGGAAAATGGCGAGAAATTTCTCCAAGGACATGGAGGAGCCCTGGATGAAAGAAATCAGGATTATTAAAGCATCTGCCTTTAGTGGAATGATAAAGCACATGTACATTCATTCGCATGTACATTCATTCCCATGTATATACCTACATACCTGCCTACATAAATACATACATAGAATACAGGGTCACCAAGTGACCCTGCAGATCCCATCTTTTTTTAGACTTCAGCATTTGTAGCTATGTATAAGATGCCCCTTTTGAGGACTATCTTATTCTTGCAGCTTCCTCTCCTAGTATGCGACTCATCCAATGACGACTGTCTTCAAAGCAGGAGCACCAGAGTGTACAAGGATGGAGATGTGGTGATTGGTGGTTTCTTCTCCCTGTACACCTGTTTATACTTCACGGGTACATCGCATATAAAACCCAGCAAGGACTTCCTTATCATTGAGTAAGTGAGTTTTTGCATTTATTTATTTTTGCTTGATAACCAGGATCAGTAATGCCTGGGGTTTGTGAATGGAAGGATCAGTACTCTTTGTATTCCTATCCTATCCTTTCTGTACTCACTTGGAACTGTCCATAATTTCATGTTGTTTGGTTCTCTTTTTCATTTTTTAAAAATAGGAGGAGATAATTTTTTCATATTTTAGCTTCTCTTCAAATTTAGATCACAAAGGAGACATCTTTCACCTTACTGTGTTTTATGTACATTCTGTTGTACCTGACTCACCACTGCATGACGTTAATAGGTCCCCATTATACATGCCACCCAAGTGCTGGATTGGACCCGGTACTGTAAGACGGAAGTACATGTCCATGTTCTAAAGAGCAGGGTCTCATAATATTTTCTTCATTATGCATAGAATGTCTCGCATCCCCACTGCTATTTATGCCCCTCCTACTTGGGCAGATTTTACTGTAGATATTCAGTTGTACTTGCAAATACTGTGTGTCTGGATTTCATTTAAGTCACTCCCTTTGCCTGGATCTGCGACAAGCCAGGAATAACGAGAAAACATTCTAGAAAATTCCATCTTACTTGGTTTTCTTTCTGTAGATATTCAGCTACACTTTCAAATATTATGTATGTCATCATTTCATTCCAGTGATGCTCTATGCCTTCTGGAGGTGCAAATCAGGATAGGAATGATGTGGTCATGTCGTGTCAAATGTGTCTACAAATATCGTTAGTCTCTTTATATAAGGACAGTAACTGAGCTATGCATTTCCCCCATAATGCTTGATGTTAGTGATCTTAAGTTGGAAAATTTTGGCAACTGGCCATACATGTACTCTCTGGTTGGATATTGTACATTTTCTGAGTCGTGAGTCCTCTTCCAAATTCTTTTAGGTTTATGAGGTAAACCATCTTCTACTTTATGAGATGGCATTTCAATTCTTTTTACTCTGCTGTTTTACTGCATACTAATTTTATGGATTAAGAATTTCAGAGCAGTAGTAACCAACTCTGGTGCAGACAAACAATATTTTTTTGGACTCTGTTTTTTTTTTTGTGATCATTTTGGACTCTGTTTTGTTGGCAATGCGCGTGGTGCACACCTACTTTAAATACAATCACCACATAGCATCCAGCCGGGCACAGCGCATCCGCAGTGCGGTTTCCGTTGCTGTTAACAGGAGATTCCAGGAGGAAGTGAGTGAGTGGCTCCCGTGCAGAGCAGCCCCTGACACACGCAGCATCCGGACTGAGCATCGCTTCTGCTTTGCTTAAGGAAATCCGTGTTTCCACTAGAAAATGCTGCTTTACTTTTACTAAAGGTTGCCATTTATAAACTGTAGTTTTAGAGGATTGAATGTGAAGTGCTGATTTTTATTTACATTTTCCAATAATTACATAAAGCAGTTAACATATCTATCACCTCATGTACATCTCCATATGGGTGAATGTGGACAGGAATTTCATTTTAGTTATCCTTAAGAACAACATGTAAAAGCATTATACCTTCCCATCATTAATGTATGTAATAAGAAATGGGTGCTGTTTAGTATAAAGTGCCATATACCCTCTGGTAAAGATAATGTTTTCCTCCTTCCAGGTGAGATAATATTTTTTTAAAAATTATCAAAGTTTTAATGCCATGCACAGAATTAATTTTTGCATATTTTTCCACTAACAACTAGCTAATATAAACTTTATAAAAACACGAATTTGTTTATTATCTATATACTGTTTTACAAAAGAATATTTTAGTACTCCGAATACTTATTACTTTTCAGAAAACAATTTACTTATAAACACATTAAGCCTCACTGTATGTTGCAAATTTTATTCTTTCAGAGGTCTGCTAAAATATATGGGTACATTTCTATAATTTTACAGTCTATTTTATTTCGGTCCCTTTGTGTAATTATATTTATATTTTAATCAAACAAGTCTTTCAGAAATATAGATACAATATAGATACAATATAGATACAAATATAGACATAGATTTAAATCTAGCTACATGAATTTGTACATTGTTTCTTTTTCTTACATGATTCTCTTTAAAATTAATTTTGTTTCATTTTATTCCATGCTCATTTTATTGCTCATTTTATAGGAATATATCTGTTGATGATATTTCTGTGTGTTTCCTTGATACTGACTTCACATTCTTGCTTTCTAATCTCTTGCTCCTAACACTGAATTATATTGCACACATGTTTATCATCTACTTTGTTGTTTGGAAGTGTAGAATTATTTCATTTTCTTATACCGTATTCTTCTCTTTCATTTATTTTTGAAGAAATAATGCTTCATGTTTTATCCCAGAGGAAATATATTTTCTCATCATTTCCCCTCACTGTTTATGTGGCTCCAAGTTACTGCGTTCTAATCGCTGGTTTGACCTTGTCACCTAAAACTAATTCATCAGAGTGACTTTTGATCGATACATTGTGTCACGTATTGACTAAACCTTGGCAGTAAGTTTGGGTTG